CCATCCAAATCCCTCCCTTCCTCCACCCTCTGCATGCATGGCCCTCCCCAAGTCCACTGATAAGGGAGGTCTCCTTTTCCTTCCTTCTGATCCTAGTCAATTAGGTCTCATCAGGAGTGGCTGCATTGTCTTCTTCTGTGGCCTGGTAATGCTGCTTCCCCCTCAGGGAGAGGTAATTAAAGAACAGGCCAATCAGTTCATGTCAGAGACAGTCCCTGTTCCTATTACAATGGAACCCACTTGGATACTGAACTGCCATGGGCTACATCTGTGCAGGGGTCTTAGGTTATCTCCATGCATAGCCCTTGGTTGGAGTATCAGTCTCAGGAAAGACCCTTGTGCTCAGATTTTTTGGTTCCGTTGCTCTCCTTGTGGAGTTCCTGTCCTCTCCAGATCTTACTGTTTCCCATTTCGTTCATAAGATTCCCTGCACTCTGCCCAACAGTTGGCCATAAGTCTCAGCATCTGCTTTGATAGTGTTTTTTTTTTTCAAGAGAACTGTCTGAATTTCTGAAAGTTACTTCTGTTTGCCAAATAATTAAAAACTACTGAAAATTAAGGACTTTGAAATCTTCTGTATGAAATTTTATCTTGCAAACCTAAGGCAATTTTGAATTTGTTTCCATATAAACCCCCACAGAAAGATGGGTAGTTTAAGTGACAGCATAGATGCCAGGATGCCATATGTTCTGTTATATATTTTTATATCCATCAGTTAAATATCATGCAGGACATAATTCATGCTGATGGAATCAATTAATATAGTAACATATAAAATATTTATGAATCACTTTCTTTTAAAATTGTGAGCAGGCCATCCATTTTGGTGGCCTAATCCAAGAGGTCATTCAAAGTTTCCTGTTTTCCTAATTTCCTTCTTGGATTTCAGTAATAATAATTTTTCACATGTGCATTTGTTATGAACTCAAACACTAATATTCAAAGGGAAGGAAAAATATGAAGGGATTACAAATGTACCACATTAGCACACAGCCATTCTCCAGTTCTCGTTCCCAAGACAGCTAAGCAATGGCTCCCAATGTTGACATGGACAAGGTTTTATGTTTTAAAGAGCTGTCTTGGAGTAAGTCTTCCAGTTAAGCCTAGGATACCTTGTTTTAAAACACCAAGGCTGAAAGACACACATGGTTTGTACTCACTTATAAGTAGATAGTAGGCATATAGTACAGGATAACCATACTACAACCCACAGACCCAAAGGAGGTAAGTGAAAAGGAAGGCCCAAGGGAGGGTGCCAGAATGACACTCAGAAGGGGAAATAGGATAGACAGCAGAAGTGGAAGAAGAGAGGGAACTGGGAAGGAGATGGAATTGGTAGGGAGAAAAGAGTGGGGATCAGATGTGGAGAGAACAGAGGTGGGAGGTGAGAGGGCTAGGAACAAGAAGCAAAACACAAGAGGACATCTGTTTGTCAAGCTGAAGGCTTATGACAGGGCAGGCTCCTGGGAAGATATGATTGTAACTCTAGTTGAGATTCCTAACAGGGAGTGGGGAACATAAAGACTGAAGTGGCCACGTCCTATCCAGGCAAGGCTAGTGGAAGGAGGGGAACAACAACCTGACAAAACCTTTGATCCAAAAATCACCCTGCCTACAAGAAGTACAAAGTCAAAGAGGCAACAAAGATTGAGAGAATGTTCAACCAATAATTGGCCCAACCTGAGACCCACCCCATGGTAGACAGCCAACCCCTGAGGCTATTAATGATGCTCTGCATGCAGACAGGAGCCTAACTTGATTGTCATCTGGGATGCTTCCACCAGCAGCTGATAGAGACAGATGCTAGGACTTGCAGCCAAGCATGGGTCAGAGCTCTGGAGGGTCCTGTGGAAGTATTGGGGGAAAGATGGAAGGAACTGGAGGGGACAGAAACCTCACAAAAAGACCAACAGAGACAATTAACCCAGTTCCATTGGTTATAGAGACTGAGACATCAACCAAGAAGCATGCATGGCCTGGTTCTAAGCCCCCTGCACATATGTGGCCAATGGGCAGCTTGGTCTTCATATGGTGCACCTGGTGAGTGGAAGGGTGGGGCTGTTTTTAACATGTACTCTATTGTCTATTTTTGGATCACTTTCCCCTGGCAGGGCTGCCTTGCGTGGCCTCAGGAGATGAGGATATGCTCAGTTCTGATGTGACTTTATGTGCTAGGGAGGGTTGTGGGAGGAGGCTCCTTGTTTCTGGGGAGAAGTAGCAGGAAAAGGTAATGGAGGGGATGGGGTACTGGGGGGAAAGGAGGTAGGGCCACTCTTGGGATGTAAAGTAAATAAACTGAAAAAAATACACTAAGTCTAATTCATAAAGATCAAACTTCATACAGTGAAGCTTGGTACTCCTCTCCTTAGATAAATGAATGATGTGCCCTTTCTGTGGAACCACCAAAAGCTTTCCCCACTCAGCTTCCTGTATGCCAATATATAATACTCTCAAGCTTTTACTGAGTCTACATTAGTATGGTTTTGGTCAGAAAAAATGTCTAATGTCCTACTGGACACTAATCAAGTACTTACTTCCTGACCCTTACTTCCCTATTCACTCATCTTCTTTTTGTCTGCTTTATGTGTATGTGCGTGCAATATGAGTGCACACACACACCAATTTAGAGAACGAAGCCATCAATCTCTGTCTTCCAAAAAAAAAAAAAAAAACACAAAACAAAACTCATCCTTCTTAGTGTAGTCTGAATGGATATTCTTGAAAGAACCACTAACTTCATTGTTTTTCAAACCCAGCATCAATATCATTGTCCTAGAATAAAGTAACTTCATGAAATAAATTGCTTATATAGCTGTTTTCAATTTTCAGTGTTTCAGTTATCCACAGTAAACTGCAGTAAAATTAAGGGGAAAATGATCAAATAAAAAGTTGTTTGTTTTAAGGTTTCTATCACAGTATATTGTAATGATTGGTTCATTCTTGATTATTTTTGTTAATCTTCTACTGTGCCTTATTCATTCATTAAACTTTAGCATAGGTATGCATGTATACACAGGGAAGTATACGGCACATAGGTTTGCTTTACGCCACAATTTGTGTCATTGATGGAATGTCTTTAGAATGTATCTCCCATGGATGGGGGGCACGGTTATTGTAGTTAAGTTCTCAAGCCTAAATGAATCATCTATATTAGCTCCTCTAAAGCCGAGGGGACATTGAGGAAAATGGAGTAGAAACAGTGTAAGATACAGAGGCTGCGGAATAATGTTTTGAGATGCATATGACATGATCATTGCACTCATGAACACATATCATCTGCGCTTACGGGCATAAGATTTATACATATAAAAGACATGAAGGTAAGAAGAGTACTAGTTAGGAAGAAGAATGGATCAGCAGGAGGGGATGAGAGAAGGGAAGGGGGTGAATATGACCACAATATAATATACTATAATATATTTGCAAAATTGTCAAAGATAAAACACAAAAAATAAGGGCAGTAATACAACAAACATACATATAGTAAAATTTATCAGACAATGAATGTGCAGGTAGCCCATTCTTTGTCTTCATTATTCTAGTAGCAAATCCTACTGAGTATTCTGGTGAATATGATCACAGTTCTCATGTTAGATTATACACTGGAAGTTTGCAAAAAGAAAAAAATGCTCATGCCTGAGATACCCTTGAATGTCAATGCACCCAGATTCATTTCAGTAAATATATAGACATTAAGTCTCCTTTTATTTGTATTTCAGGGGGTGTTGGACACAAAACAATAGGTCTTGTGCATTCTAGACAAGAATTATACTACTGAGCTACATCCCTACCCTTGAGCCTTAATTTAAAGGTTATAGAAATGATTCTAGCTTGCGGCTGCAGGTATTGATTACTAACACCTTTTATCTCTTTTTGCCTAGTTGGAGGTACACATTTAAAAGGATGAGCACAGTCTGGCTACAGGCAATGCTACTGGCAGAGGTCAAGGATGTTGCTAAACATCTCACAATGAACAGTACAACATATGCCCACAAAGTTTTTCCAGTTCACATTGCCACTAGCACCAAAGAAAACAAACCCCACTGCAAGGGAGGCAAAACAGTGATTTTAATTCCTTAGGATTCTTTGTATCCATATGTGTAATAGACTGGTATCTGTGTTGGAGCAAGCCTTATCCAGTGCAATTCATAATGCATTTATTGAAAAAAAAAATCCACTGCTTTCCAATAAAAGGATAAATGCAGTTACTATATATGAGCACTCCAAAGTGAGACATATGCCTTTTTTCATTAAACATTCATTCATTATGACACATAAAATGAACATGCATTCACACAATTATACCATTTAAAAATCAGTTCATATAAGACTATAAAAAGAAGTCATAAAATATAGACTGTAGTAATGGGGTCCAGGTGACCTTTACAACTAAAGTGTGCAAACTAAAATTGACCACAAATGTCTGTGAAAGAATGGCTCAAGTGTCATTTCCTTAAAAAGCTATGGAAATGAACACAAATCAGTATGATGAAAGTCAGTAATTGCCAAAAACTTACGGAGCCCAAACCAAGCATTCTGTGATCTAACAAAATTGTTGAGGATGGCCTACCTTTTGTAAGTCACAAGATGGAGACTGTTTCTTTTCTGTAGTCATAGCAGGTAAATCCAAGCTCTTTCTTATTTAATTGGTCCTGCTTAATTGTCTGCATTTGCCAAACAGCTGGTTATTATTATGCATGCTGTCCATGGCTACTCAACCAAGGTCTTCTTTTAGGCATAGCTGATTGGACACAATAATTGGAACCACAACCTTGCCTGTAGTCATCAACTGCTCAAACCAGTTGAACTCATCAATTCAGCATAGGGATACTCAAACAGAGAAAAGCAGACCCAAACTGTTCTCAATAACATTCCATTACAGAAATGTAGTTTACATAATAGAACCTAACTACATAAATCCATGCAATTCAAAATATCAACCCAATACAAATAGCATGCTCCCTGAAAGATGCATTGGCTTTAGCTATTTGGTTCTTTACCTTTGTCTTTGTTCTTTTCTTTCCCTAGTGAATCCAGTTTCTTTCTCAAAGATTTCTTTCTCTTTTGTCCATCTGTGAATATTAAAAGAATAAGAGTTTTTAAAAAAATAAATATAAAATTATTTTCACATTACAAACAATTACGGTTGATGTCCTCCTTCACTTATATAATTCAACATTGTAAACAGAAAACTAGCCTTGAGAATACCTGAAAAATCCCCAATTTGTAGCATATGTAACCAACCATGAAATATGCTCTGAAATGTTCTTTCAATCATGGGAAGAACTAGAAACAGCCCTCTTTCATATGTAATTCAGCTTTGACAGCCAGATGTGTTTGTTTTTACTGTCACAAAAGGCTTTTCAATTCTTCATGTTTATGCAAGTCACTCTTCATCTTGAACAAAATCTCCGTCCCAGAATCAACTGTACACACATATAGCTTTGACATTCATAAGCTTCTACAGTGTAACTGGAAAAGGAAATGGATTTTGGTGTCCATTGAACTCAGGACTTACTATTATCATAGCATTTACAACATGAAGAACTTTGGATAAGTCTTGGTGCTTTTACCTAAATAATGGAGCCTGATGCATGTCCATAAATTCAGATCTACTTTCTGCCTAGGGCTTGCATGTTATTCTACAGTATGCTTGTCCAATAATTTAATTATTCATACTTTGATAGATGTTGGAGTTGTTTCAAATGTGTCACTGTAAGTAGGGGAATATTCTCTTTTTCCATGTGATACATCTAATGAACACACTTAATGATCTGCTTAACAAACCAAATAGTAAAAATGGCATTTATATTGGTTGGCATCTGCAATTGAATTCCAGGAATGTCATCATAAAATATTGGCATTTATCACTGCCAGAATATGTTTTGGGATTATTAAGCTTAACATGGAGGAGATGTCCACACTGGGTTACAATAAGAAAGACACAGTTCAAACCAAAGGGAACTATTTTAAAAGTGGATTAAGAATTCTTGCAGGACATACTAAAACATGTAGTAAAAAAGAGATATCACCCAATAATTTTACGAAACAAGGCTCTGATAGCAGCAAATGTCATAATAAGCACTCTGAATGTAACAAGAATTCCTCAGATCCTCTTGGGGTTGCAGATGCTCCCAACTCCTCCTCCTCTTCCTCTGTGAATTTTTAGATGTGAAGGAATAATATCCTTACAAAATCTCCCCCAAAATATTTTATTCCCACAAAATGAAAATAGTAAGATTTTTCACCTTTAAAGTCATGAGATTTGTAAAGGCGGGGAAAACATGTAAATCAGCTGGTGTTAAATCAGTACAGTGGTCAAGATCCATTAATCTCTTTCATCTCTGATGTGGTCACATCTTAAACATCTAAGAGTTGATCTAACTACTAGGAACTGTCATGACTTATTATATAAACACAGATGATAAAACATATTAACTGCACAAGATTCTCATCTGTTCTCCAAATAAGACTGAGGGTGGTTTTACTTTTTAATACTTTCGTTATTGCTAGTTCAACTCACTAAATGTGTTTGGTCCAGTGATAAAATTTCCTACTAAAATTTTTCTATTTCCTCAATTTGCATACTTGACTGAACAGAGTAACTAAACCCTGCATCTATTGAAGCCTAAGAGATTTTTCTGTGGTGTTAGGGATGGAACCCAGGACCTTGTACACTGCAACCAAGTGTCCTATCACTGAGCCCAGGATGAGAAGCCACAAGTTTTTTCTCTTTATTTTTATTTTAATTTTTATAATTTTAAGTTAGTATGTAAACTAATAGATTTCACTGTGATTTTTTCCTTCCTTCCTTCCTTCCTTCCTTCCTTCCTTCCTTCCTTCCTTCCTTCCTTCCTTCCCTCCCTCCCTTCCTTCCTTTCTTATATGAATTATTCACTTTATACCCCCAACTGTAGACCCCTCCCTTGTCTCTTCCCAGTCCCACCCTTCCTCCCTCTTCTTACCTATCCCGCTCCCCTAGCCTACAGAAACAGGGAGCCCTTCTCCCCTACCATCTGACCCTAATCTATCAACTCTCATTAAGACTGCCTGCACCTTATTTCTATGTGGCCTGGCAAACCACTGCTCTTCTTACTGGGGAATCCACAAGGAAACTGAACTGTCTATGGGGTACATCTTAGAAGGGGGCCTAGGTCTTCCCCATACATGGTTGGTTGGTGCATCAGTCTCTGCAGGATTCCCTGACCCCAGATTTGTTGTCTCTGTTGGTCTTCTTTTGGAACTCCCGTCCCCTTCAGGTCCTTCTATCCCCACAATTTTCCATAAGACTCCCTGCACTCTGCCCAAATTTTAGTTATGAGTCTTAGCATCTGATTTAATCCCTCCTGGGTGGAGTCTTTCCAAGGACATCTTTCCTAGGCTCCCATCCTGTTCCCTCTCTCTTCAACAACTACATGTGTCTGGTGTCTAGTCCATTTTCCTTTCTGAATGAGAAGTAAGCATCCTCTCTAGGGCCCTCCTTGCTATTTAGCTCTTTTACGTCTGTGGATTGTAGTATGGTTATCCTTTATTATATGGATAATAATAACTTATAAATGAGTATATACCGTGCATGCCTTTCTGGGTCTGGGTTATCTTATTCTGTCGATTTCTCAGGAAATTGGGAATAGCACTATTTCAAGACCCAGCTATACCACTCCTGGACATATACTCAAAAGATATTCCACCATACAACAAAGATATTTTGCTATGATCTATGTTTGTAGCAGCTTTATTCATAATAGCCAGAATCTGAAGACAACCCAGATATTCTCCAACTGAAGAAGACACAGAAATTGTGCTATATTTACACAATGGAATATTACTCAGCTATTAAAAAGAAGGAAATCATGACACTTTTAGGCAAATGGATGAAACTAGAAAAGATCATCCTGAGTAAGGTAACCCAGAACAAGAAAGACACTGTGATGTTTTATACATATGTTTCATTATACTTTATTTTCAATCATTCTCCTCTCCCACTGATCTATCACATGCACACAACCTTTCTGGCTGATTGTCTTCCTTTCTCATTTTGGGCATCTATAATCTGGTCTTAAGTGTATTCCCCAAGATAAGCCTTACCTGGAAAGCACAGAAATTTAACTTTAATCCAAACCACACGACCTATCAGTTCTCTGGCTTAGGGAGGTTTATGCTTTGAATTTTGTATTTTCACTCCTGACAACTATAAAACAAATAGGTTTCCTGTGGGTTGCATGTTGATGCATATGAGATTATATTACAAAATATAAATTTTAGTGTCACATCAACAATGACATGGTATTCACCATAACTACTTAGAGATTAAGATTGTTGTGTACTTTCCTCTCTCTCTCTCTCTCTCTGTCTCTCTGCATTCCTTCTTTACTTCATCCTTTCCTACCTACCACCCTCTACCTCTAATTTTGTATTATCTTGGATATATCAAGACACATGTCTGGTCTTACAGGCACATCTCTCATCTAGGCACTGTATTTTCTTCCCCTACCACCTAGGAACACGTGGAGAGTAATAGCTTTGACAGTAGACAGTTCTGTATATGGGTTCTGAATTTACCAATTCCCGCAGACAACTTAATCTCTTCAAACCTCAGTCTCCTCATCTATACAGTGGGAGACATCAGGAACTGTTGTTTGGATAGGATAATGTTGAAGATTCCGTGTGCTTAGATTATAGCACATGTTTAGTAAGTACTGATCATACATGGATCTATGTACAGAGTAAAGTAGAGGCAGTAATGAAATATATACACTGTATATATGCCTGATATCTACCTGAAGAAGAAGATCTATGTGTTAGGATTTTGGAACTAAACCTGCTCCTGGGTTGCCTAGCAACTTATGATGTCATCCTGTTGCTGGCCAGGTGGCCACACCTGGAAAGCGTGGTTACCTTCCTCGTTAAAGGGACCAGCCGGCCATGTGGTCCCTCTCTTGGTTTCTCTTGCCCTTTTCCCCTTCCCTTGGCCTCTCTTGGCCCCCTCCCCTTTCTTTATCGGGGCGCCATCTCCTCCCCTCCATCTCCACCTAATAAACCACTTTCATATAAAATCTGTTGTAATCATCATGATTTAATTTGTCCCTTTACATTTGGTGCCGTGACTCGGATGGGTTCTCCTGGCCTACCCAAAAATCCTCATTAGACTCCAATGGCTACAACAGATTCCTTTCTGCTCTATGCCTAAAAATCTTTACCTTTCCTCAACTATCTACTGTGCATGGCACATCTGTCCTGCTGCCTGCAGCTGCAGGGAAAGTGGCCTCCCAGCTCCCTGTGGAGGCCAGTCCAGTACCTGCTGCTCAAACTTGTTCCATTACTCTGAACTTCTGAGCACTCCCGCTTCTCCAAAATCAACTTGAAAAAGTCCCTGGTGCTCCCTAACCTCAACCTAAAAACCTTTACTTTCTCTCATTGCTTTTATGCACCCAGCTGCTCAGAGCAGAGCCCCGGAGACTCATGCCATGCTAAAATCAGCTTGGGAAAATCTGGCACGCTGCTTTAGGTAATAAATCGCTGGGAACCCTGTACACAGATTTGCACACATAGCTGCCTGAGCGTGATTTTGAATCTCCCGCCAAGACACTTGCCGCCATGTTGGGTTTGGGAGGAAGTGGGCAGAGCCACAGCTTCACTATCAACTCCATGTGGTTTTGCAGCCATTTTGACTCGGGACAATTTGGCTCCATCTTGCCATGTGCTCCCCCCTCTCCCACTCCTGCACAACTCCAAACCATGACACGCGTGTACCCCCACTCCTGTGTCTTTCAATATTCTGACTACTCTAAGTGTTTTTCCCAAGCTTTAAAAAATCTTTTCTTCCTGATTTCTGTATACTCTGTTGTTAAAAAAATAGATATATAAGTTTTAAATGCTTTAAATTCTTAATCTAATGATTTATATAATTTTTTCACTGGGTTTACAAGACTGCCTTAATCAAAACTGTTTTTATCTTCTTTTTAATTTTTTTTAACTTTTATTAATTATGCTTTATTTGCTTTGTATCCCCCCATAAACCCCTCTTCCCTCTCCTCCTAATCCCACCTTCCCTCCCTTCTTCACGAATGCCCCT